GCTCCGGCACCCTGCCGGAGGGGGGATCCATCACCGGTGGCCATCTTCATCATCCTGGCGCTCTCCATGACGAGGAGGGAGTAGTACACCCTTGGGGCTGAGGGTATGTACCAGTAGCTATGTGTTTGATCTCTCTCTCTCTCTCTCTCTCGTGTTCTTGATTTGGCACGATATTGATGTATCGCGAGCTTTGCTATTATAGTTGGATCTTATGATGTTTCTCCCCCTCTATCTCTTGTAATGGATTGAGTTTTCCCTTTGAAGTTATCTTATCGGATTGAGTCTTTAAGGATTTGAGAAACTTGATGTATGTCTTGCGTGGTATTCTATTGATTCATTTGATGTATGGTTTGGTGATCAACTTGCGGGTTCCGTGACCTTGGGAATCTATGCATAGGGGTTGGCACACGTTTTCGTCTTGAATCTCCGGTAGAAACTTTGGGGCACTCTTTGAAGTTCTTTGTGTTGGTTGAATAGATGAATATGAGATTGTGTGATGCATATCATATAATCATACCCGCGGATACTTGTGGTGATATTGGAGTATCTAGGTGACATTAGGGTTTTGGTTGATTTGTGTCTTAAGGTGTTATTTTACTACGAACTCTAGGGCTGTTTGTGACAGTTATAGGAATAGCCCAATGGATTGATCGAAAAGAATAACTTTGAGGTGGTTTCATACCCTACAATAATCTCTTTGTTTGTTCTCCACTATTAGTGACTTTGGAGTGACTCTTTGTTGCATGTTGAGGCATAGTTATATGATCTAATTATGTTATCCTTGTTGAGAGAACTTGCACCAGTGAAAGTATGAACCCTAGGCCTGGTTTCAATGCATTGCAATACCATTTTCGCTCACTTTTATCATTAGTTACCTTGCTTTTTTATAATTTCATATTATAGAAACCTATATCTACCATCCATATTGCACTTGTATCACCATCTCTTCGCCGAACTAGTGCACATATACAATTTACCATTGTATTAGGTGTGTTGGGGACACAAGAGACTCTTTGTTATTTGGTTGCAGGGTTGTTTGAGAGAGCCCATCTTCATCCTACGCCTCCCATGGATTGATAAATCTTAAGTCATCCACTTGAGGGAAATTTGCTATTGTCCTACAAACCTCTGCACTTGGAGGCCCAACAACATCTACAAGAAGAAGGTTGTGTAGTAGACATCAAGGCCGACTACCCGGCACCACCGGACATGCGGGTGCCGGGCTCATGGAGGCTGAGCGCTGGCGGAGTCTCGGTGCCACCGCCACCCACCGGTGTTGATCGGTGCATCGAGATTGCGCGCATCCGATCGTCGCTGCCGGAGTAGGCGCGACAATAGCCGAGGTACACCCCCGACAGCCACACGCTGTGGACGGCGTACTTCGACCACCGCCATGAACTCCAACTCGCCTCCATGAAGGGCGTCGATCCCCGCAGCCGCCTCAACTCTGAAGGGCGGCGCCAATGGTGGGGCATCCCAAGGCGCATGCTCGAAGCCGTCCTCGAGTACATCGAGGGCAGCAACTCGCCGCGGTTGGTGTACCTAGCGCCCCCTCCTTCTCTCGCCGTCGCGGTAGTTCCTGGACACCGAGGTGAATGGAGACGGCGTCCTCGTCATCGTCGGCCTTCCTTTCCTCCAGGTCGCCAACTCCCCTCCCCGTCATGCGGGAGCCACGGGAGAGGTCGCTCAGGCGGTGCACCCACGATGGCGCCCTCATCATCAACGAGGGAAGTGTCCCTTCTCCTCCCTTCTCCTTCCGCCTCGTCAAGCCAAAAATTGAGCCGACGCTCCTTCCAGTGAAGGAGCACGAGGCCATGGCTGCCGATGAGGAAACCGGCCTCAAATGGGCGTGGGACGACTACGTCCGGCAGGAGATGGAGCGCCAGCGCCGCGCCCTCGAGGAGATCGCCGCCTGGCACCGCGGTGGTGAGGAGGGCGGCGGCATCATCCTCGATGACAGCGACGAGGAGGTGCCCGACCCATCCAACCCCGTCTACCATGGCGACCCAGAACAGGGGTGCAGCAAGGACGGTGCGCGGCGATGGCGGCGATGACGACATCGGCGACTACACCAACTACTACAGACTCCTAGGCATGTAGAAGACGGCGCGGCGGCGGTGGCGGCGTAGTAGTAGTAGTAGTACTTTTTAGTTTGTTTTTTAAATTATGTTTTCAATTTGTACAAATATCCATCAAACCGCCTGAATTTCCTCTAAGTTTGGCCGAATTCTGGCCGAGTTTATTTTTCAAAAAATGGCATCTGGGCGACCTTGGGCGTCGGTTGGGAAACCGTCCGCCGCCACGCTGATTTATTCGCCGGCGCGCCCCCAGGCGGCGCTATTTCAAGCCCCAGGGGGGCCAAACGGCTGGAGATGCCCTAACTTCTATGGAGCCCAATGCATTTCCCAACTTGAATGCAGCACGGCCTTTCTCACACGATGATGCCCGCTTCACGCGACACTACGGCAACTCCTCGGTACATGTCTTCCAGCTGAGTCACTGTTCCTACGTTTGATAGGTACGCTACAAGAGCATCTATAGTCGGGGGGGGGCAAACCGTCCTCAAATGCTCGGGTGGATTGTGCGGTCATGAAATTTTTATTCAGATGGGTGGCTCGGACGGGGTTCAAATGCTCGGGTTGACCGGCACCCCTCATATTTAGCTCAAATATGGGCGGATATGGAGGCGCCCGGGCGAGCCCGTACGCATCCGCCACGTCATACTAACGGCATGGTCCCATGCGAAATCACACGGAAACCTGGCGATCCGATAGACCGGTGGGGTGTGAACGTCGCATGGCGCCGGTTCGACTTATGCCCGAGTCCAAATTCGGATATTTAAGCCTGCAGGCATCCCCCCAACCCTAGCCCATCCACGTCCTTTCTCTCCGCGCCCCAGCCCGAGCCCATCCATTTCTTCTCTCCCGCTCAGGCTCTCTTCCCATGCTCTGCGCCTGTGCCATGGCCTGGAGGAAGATAACCACCTACGCCATGCTCACCTGGAGCGTCGGTACGAGATCCAACAGGAAATTTGGGCAAGGCGTGTCGCTTGTGTCGCGCGCATTGCTGTCGGAGCGCCGGTACGAGATCCAGCAGGACATTCGGGCAGCGCACGCCCGCGCGTCGCCCGCATCGCTTTCGGAGCGTCGGTAAGAGATCCAGCAGGAGATTCGGGCAAGGCGCACCGCGTGCGTTGCCTGCATCGTTATCGGAGCGCCAGTACGAGATCCAGCAGGAAATTTGGGCAAGTCGCGCCACGCGCATCGCCCGCATCGCTGTCGGGCTGCCACCGGACTCGCCGGAGCCGGAGGAGGAGTAGGAGGAGGACTAGGCGGAGGGAAAAGAGTAGCATCTGGCTCCGTGGAGGATGACTAGGAGGCGAAGTAGTTAGAGCAGGAGCTGACGCCAGCTCCGGGCTTCAACATGGAGCAGGAGGAGGCGGAGTTCCCCGTCGCCCAAGCGGACGAGATGGCGGAGCAGTAGGCCTTCCTAGAGTCCATCCAGGATTATGCCTATGTGGAGGCCAACCAACGATTCATCAGGCAGGAACGGGCGTCGACCGATGCCCTCTTCCACGAGGTTGAAGCGGAGATGGATGTGCATGCCGCCGCGGAGGAGCCAGAGGAGCCGCATGAGCCGGAGCTGCAGCTACCGCCCATGTACCCGGCGCCGGGCACGGAGACAGTGGACATCTCCGACAAGGAGTGGCTAGTTGATCTTCGTAGTATGTAAGTTTTTTTTGCATGTTTTTATATGAATTTAAGCCTGTGGGTGTTTGTAGGGTCGAATTTACCAAGTTCGGCTGTAGATGCTCTAATATGCACTAACCCTATATGATGCTAATTCATGCAGAAATGAAATAAACATACAGATAAATAAACATGAAGATTACAACTAACAATTTAAAATGCATACACATTGAATTGAGACATGAGAAAATCTTAGACAGGTCGAATTTAGCAAGGCCATTTTATTTAATCAAAACAGGAACTTGCAAGTCAATAAATAAGGAAGTATATATACCTGTTTTGGTGATTAAATACAGTTCAGAAGATAAGAGTATATGTAATATGTATTAGCTAATATTGGTCACTTAAACCCGCAGACGTGCTCAGTTAGTGATGGAGCACGTCCGTTTTGACCCTTCATTTATGCATTTATGTATGCATGTAACTATGTCCTTTACATTCTTCCTAAATTATCCGGTTAAATACGTGTGATTGGTAGAGATGAAGAGGAAAAGAGAAAAGAAAGAATAAGGATAGTCATAGTGGGGGTAACTTAGGTAAAATTTTGCTTATGTGGCATGTAATTAATAAGGAGAGAGGTGTTTAGAGTAATATAATATGTTACTGTAACATAGCGCTTCCGAAAAAAAATGAATCTACAAGCTAATAAATAAAGACATTTATGACACTAATGTTATGTTATTTTGCATTATAAAAATAATACTTAAACTAATGTCATATGCATGTCATTAGTCTAAGTTACTCCTCACTATGACCAGACTAAAGAAGAAGATGGTCCGGGGTGTGCCGCATCGGATTGTCCGAGTCCGACAAATATGAGAATTTCCAGCCCGGTCATAGGACAAAGTGAGAGGTTCGATGGAGTGTGTTTTTTCTTTTTTCTTTTTCTGTTTAGACATGACCGGGCAGTTTGATTGGACGTTTGAGGGATCCATTTGTAGACGGTGTAAGACACCGCCAGCCGCTGGCTCCGGTGCTGGTAAACATGGCACGTTGCTTTCTCGCAAGTCGGCAATTCGTGATGTCATGGAATTGCAATTGGGTTTTATTCCAAGACGGTTGACAAAAGCATGCGACACCTCCCGTTTCATTGCATCCGGCCACAATTTCCCAACAACCGAAACCGCTTCACTTTCTCCTCTCCCTCTGCTGTTTAATTGATCCTCCATTCCTCCTACCTGCCTCGGCGCCAACAGACCATCGCAGGGAGGAACGGAATCCCATCTCCCCCTGCCGCTGCTTTTTGTTGCCATGGACGGCGGCTACCGCTCCAAGTCGTACGCCAGCGGCCGCATGCAGATCGAGGCCTATACAGGCGGCGCGCGGCCGGACTTCCGGTCCTTGTCCTACGGCGGCGGCGGGGCGTCGTACCAGTACCAGTACGAGTACGGCTCCGGAGCAGGGCAGGTGACGACGGTGGTGGAGGAGGAGGTGAAGAGGAGCAAGTCTAAGCGGCGGTGGCTGGCGCTGGGTGACCCGGACATGGAGCGGAAGCGGCGGGTGGCGGCGTACAAGGCCTACGCCATGGAGGGCAAGGTGAAGGGATCCTTCCGCAAGAGCTTCAGATGGATCAAGGACCGCTATCTGCACCTCGTCTACGGCGTGTCCTAGCTACTAGCAGTAGCGCAGGCAAGGAACAGCACAGAGCAGATCGATCGAGCTGCAAGAAACAAATTTCTCCTTTGTTGTTTATACTCTACTTGTTTGTGATGCTTGATCAAGGTCAGTAAAGATAGGTAAACATATTCCTCTGCTTTTTTCTTCTTCTTCTTCATGATGTCAATGACTGTCGTGTAAGTTGTATGTATCTGAAAGAAGTTTTGCAGTTCAATTCTTCAACGAATCAATCGACAAAGTGGGTGGTTTGCATACGCGGTTGCTGTTGATGTTTGGTTTTTCCTTATTTCTATTTTATGATGGACCAATATAAACATCAACAACTTCAAATTAGACTAAGTTTTAGATTTACATTAGCTGGTTCTATGAGTTGTTGTTGTTTGGTTTTATGATTTATTTAGTCAATTATTGTGTTCTTCCCTCGCAAAAAAAATTATTGTGTTCTTACGAACTGGTCAGATTAGCTTGCTCTGCGATTGCGTGGAAGGGTGAACGGAAACCTGTATTCTTATGCCAGCTCCATGGCTGTGACATAGCCTACTTTTGACGAGGTCCCAGCCTCAACCTAATCCAGCTTACGAAGACCAAATGACGGGAAACTCAAGTGTTTTTTTATGGATTTCATTAACTTTAAACGAATCGTCAAGGGGTTAAAAACACAATGAACTTACATCCAATCTTTGCATATTAGAATGAACATATAAACAATACAAACGCACAAAGACAAAATATTACGCTCTCGACCACGCCTCTCTTCGTACGTAGCCTGAGAATTGCCCACTTCCACCCCTATCAATGCAATGGTATGCATCTTGAGAAAATTCCTTATTTGACACTGTCTTAAAATTTAGTTCCTTATTTGACCCTGGAAAAAATTTTCTTCCCTATTTAACACTAGTCCTAAATTTTATTCCCTATACGACACTTCCGTCCATTTTAAGCCTAAATGACACCTGAAAAGACGATTTTGCCTCTCATGCGGTATATGTGTGTGCGCGCGTGTGTGTTGTTGCGTGTGTGGGTGCACGCGCACATGTGTGCTGCTGCTGCATGTGTGTGTGAATGTGTGCTGCTGCGTGTATGTTTGCTACTGCGTGTGTACGTGTGCACGTGTGTATTGTTGCGTGCCTATGTGCTGTCTGCGTGTGTGTGTGCTGCGTGCGTGTGTGTTGCTGCGTGCGTGTGCGCGTGCATGTGTGTTGCTGCGCGTGTGTCCGTGTGTGTACGCGCGTGCGTGTTGTTGCGTGTGTGTGCGCGCGTACGTGTGTTGGTGCATGTGTATGTGTTGCTGCGTGTATGCTCCTGCCCTCGCACTGATGCTGTGTGTGCGCTATTGCCCCCCACACACATACCACATGAGGGGCAAAAGAGTCTTTTCATGTGTCATTTAGGCTCAAAATGAACGAAAATGTCATATAGGAAATAAAATTTAGAACTTGTGTCAAATAGAAAAAAAAATTCAGTGTCAAATAAGAAAGCAGATTTTAAGATAGTATCAAATAAGGAATTTTCTCATGCATCTTAGCGTATTCGCGAAAAAAACACCAACGCACAAAGACAAAATATCGCACTGGCAACTGGCACATTTTTTGTCGGCTGGGTAGTGTCGGGCTATGCACACAATAAAACATGTATTGCACACGGTTTGGTTGATTTCATCCTCCTAATCTAGCTGTAAGGAAACACAATCATTTTCTATCAAGAAGAATTAGTGTCACCTCTTATTCATGTGGTGAACTTACCTCACATGAGAGAGGAGTGTTGAAGGAAAAAGAGAAAGATCGGCCCGACGTAGAAGGTGTGACAGCCCTCCAATGCTCATTCAGCGGTCACAAAATCGACTAGGTGCGAGTAATTTTTCAGGCGACTGACACCACGAGTGTGACATGTTTTTACAGTCAGTAGGAAGATGTGGATATACTCATCTACACCCTTCAAATCAAAAAGCATACAACACAAAAGTTATGTGAAACAATAAGATGAAGCTAGTGGTCAAATAAAATTTCAGACGGTCGACGGGGTGCAAAGATTTTGCCAAAATTCATCGATTCATAACATACACACATGAACACGTTTGTGCAGTCCTATACGAGATGTAGATCTACTCGTCAACAACCGTCGTAATGAAAACATACAACACAAAAGTTGTGTGAAACAGTAAGATGAAGCTAGTGGTCAAATGAAAATTTCAAACGGTCAACCTGTGCGAGCATTTTACCAAATTCATTAGTTCATAACATGCACACATGAACACATTCGTTAGTTCAGTAGAAGATGCAGATCTACTCGTCTATGATCGTGAAAACAGAAAATATATTGTATGAAAGTCTGGTGAAACGTTGAGATGAAGCTAGTGGTAAAAGGAAATTTCAAATGGTCGATCACGTGCGAAGAATTTGCCTAAATTCGTCTAAAGAACCTCCAAACATGAGCACGAAATTGAAGATCTATAATCCATGAAATCAGTAGCCGATTGCCTGATGGCCCCTCAACAGCGATGCACCTTTCTCGTGTATAGCTTATTTCAAATTGAAACACGTTTTGTAGGATAGAAGGGATTATGCGAAGGGGATTAAGGAACATGAGGAGAATAGAGCATGTGAAAATCCCACGTACACTATGTGCGAGCTCGCACCCAAAGACCCATCCACATGCCCTATAGGTTGCTCCCCTCAGGCCCGACTTGCTATTCGACCATTCCTCCGGAGCCAGGGCCAGAGGTGCTTTAAGTTTTGTGCGGGCCAAGTTTCTGATGCAGTTCAGACATCCAAAGCCAAAAAAACGCATCCTCGGGGCTGGTCGGTCTTCATGCAGGTTACCAAACACGCCATAAACCTATACCTAGGTGGAGCAAAAGGAAAACTTCGAAGCGATAAGAAGAATGATCAACAAGTTCGAAGCGATAAGAAGAATGATCAACAAGCTATAGTAGCAACCATATCTACACCGATCATCTTTGTGAAGGAAATATGCACTAGAGGCAATAATAAAGTTGTTATTTTATATCTCCTTATATCATGATAAATGTTAATTATTAATGCTAGAATTGTATTAACTGGAAACTTGATACATGTGTGGATACATAGACAAAACACCGTGTCCCTAGTAAGCCTCTACTAGACTAGCTCGTTAATCAAAGATGGTTAAGTTTCCTAACCATAAACATGTGTTGTCATTTGATGAATGGGGTCACATCATTAGGAGAATGATGGGATGGACAAGACCCATCCGTTAGCTTAGCATATTGATCGTTTAGTTTTATTGCTATTATTTTCTTCATGTCAAATACATATTCCTTCGACTATGAGATTATGCAACTCCCGGATACCGGAGGAATACCTTGTGTGCTATCAAACGTCACAACGTAACTGGGTGATTATAAAGATGCTCTACAGGTATCTCCGAAGGTGTTTGTTGAGTTGTCATAGATCAAGATTAGGATTTGTCACTCCGAGTATCAGAGAGGTATCTTTGGGCCCTCTTGGTAATGCACATCATAAGAAGCCTTGCAAGCAAAGTGACTAATGAGTTAGTTACAAGATGATGTATTTGAAGGAAATATGCCTTAGAGGCAATAATAAATTGTTATTTTAGATTTCCTTATATCATGATAAATGTTTATTATTCATGATAGAATTGTATTAACTAGAAACTTGATACATGTGTGGATACATAGAGAAAATACTATGTCCCTAGTAAGCCTCTACTAGACTAGCTCGTTAAATCAAAGATGGTTAATTAAGTTTCCTAACCATAGACATGTGTTGACATTTGATGAACGAGATCACATCATTAGGAGAATGATGTGATGGACAAGACCCATTCGTTAGCTTAGCATATTGATCGTTCAGTTTTATTGCTATTGCTTTCCTCATGTCATATACATATTCCTTTGACTATGAGATTATGCAACTCCCTGATACCGGAGAAATACCTTGTGTGCTATCAAACGTCACAACGTAACTGGGTGATTATAAAGATGCTCTACAGGTATCTCCGAAGGTGTTTGTTGGGTTGGCATAGATCGAGATTAGGGGTCACTCCAAGTATTGGAGAGGTATCTCTGGGCCCTCTCGGTAATGCACGTCATAATAAGCCTTGCAAGAAAAGTGAGTAATGAGTTAGTTGTGGGATGATGTAGTACGAAACGAGTAAAGGGACTTGCCGGTAACGAGATTGAACTAGGTGTGTGGATACCGACGATCAAATCTCGGGCAAGTAACATACCGATGATAAAGGGAATAATGTATGTTGTCATAACGGTTTGACCGATAAATATCTTCGTAGAATATGTAGGAGCCAATATGAAAATTCAGTTTCCGCTATTGGTTATTTACTGGAGAGGTGTCTCGGTCATGTCTACATAGTTCTCGAACCCGTAGGGTCTGCATACTTAACGTTTGATGCCGATTTTGTATTATATGAGTTATGTGATTTGGTGATTGAATGTTGTTCGGAGTCCCGGATGAGATCACAGACATGATGAGGAGTCTCAAAATGGTCGAGTGGTAAAGATTGATATATAGGACGATAGTATTCGGACACTGTTGGGAATATGACTACCAGATATGACCCACCGAGGAGGGGCCGGGTCAATCCTAATGGCGGGTTACTAAAAGAAGCTCAGTGAATATACAAGGCGATGGTTTAGTATGAGACTTGTAGTAGGCCCAAGCCCAAAGGTGGCTTGAGGCCCGTGATTGTAAACCGTCATGTGTAAGAAATACTTGTAAAGAAAGGCATGTAACGGAAGTCACCGAGTCGGACACGTTATATGAGCCGGCCGGGACTCTGTAGGCCGCCAGGCGTCAACCCGTGTATATAAGGGGACGACCCGATGGCGGCTTAGGGTGAGAAACAACAGATCGAGAAGACAAGCTAGCGTATTTCTCTCCTTGGTCATCGAAACCTAGCAATACCACATCAACTGGACTAGGCTTTACCTTCACCGCAAGGGGCCGAACCAGTATAAACCTCACGTGTCCTTTGTCCCG